TTGTGCCAGCACCCTCCTCCTCTTGGCCTTAGCAGTGCCTGAACTGTGCACAAATCCCTGCTTTTTTCTGCTCTGTAGAAACAGTGCAAACACAGAAAGGCACTTTTATTTTCTCCATCTTCATCTTCAGGTGTTGAGGAAAAAAAATGAGTAAATGTTTACAACTGTTCCAGCCAGAGCAGAGTGAACACCCAGAGGTGATTTTCTCTCTTACTTTTTCTGCACCAAGAATGTGAACAGAGGGAGGTCTCAGTGCCTGAATTATTCCAAGTGTCTTCATAATTTTTTTTCAAAGCAAGAAAACCCACTATTTTCAGGCATCACTAGAGGAATGAATCTGACAAGCCCTTATCCAAACGTTTAAATTTTGAAAGGGGAAAAAAACCCCCACCCATGTGACTGACAAGGTCCTTTTCAAACACATAATATGCTGAACCTTGCATGACATTTCTGTGGGTGTTAAGTCTAAAGAGCTATCTTTGCATGCAATGTAGCAAATGAACTGTGTAAGGCGAGGGCTGGAGCTCTGTGCATCCTTGCTGAGTTGTACTAGAGCACTGGAAAGCCTGACAAGCTGCTTCTTTCCAACCTGCATTTCCCCAGGGAACAGGCTGGTGTATTCTTGCTCTTCAAACACCTGAAAAGTTTGTTCTAGACTAACTATTGTCATTTATGCTGCATGTTGCAAGGAATAGATATTGTGGGGCTTTGTGGAAGAGCAGAAAGGTAGAATGATGCAAAGTAAAGCTATGACTGTAACAAAACTGTTTGAAGATCTTTGTCAGGTGTCCCTCCCTAGTTTTCCACCTGTCTTTTCTTTCCTCTTCATTTTTTTTCTGGACTTTTGGGTTATCCTCACCCTTCCCTGGGGTCTCTTATCAGTTGTTCAGGTCACCCTAAAACCCCACTGTCCCCACTGTGGCTGAGACCATCCCTCTGTGGAGGAGAGCAGATGAGTCTGCCCATATTCTGTAATCCAAAAGGTGAGAATAGTGCATGCCCCTCCCAGCCCCCCAGCCTGGAGCAGCTGTTTCATTTCATTTTCCTTCCCCTGAAATTCCTGTTTGTGTTTTTGTAGCTTCAGGATGGCTACCAAGCTCCTTTCAGCACTGAATTAGGGGAACAGAGGGTACAGTAGCAGGCAGACTCACCTATTAATCAAATTCATGTGTCTTGGTGAGCCAATTCAGAGCACCACAGAGCTGGTTCTTGTGATTTCATAACATCTCATGACACTCCATATTTTTGTTAGAGCTCTGCCTTTCAGATTCATGGGATGATGGGAGAAGCTGAGGAAGAATTAGCAATAAAGCATCTAGAGCACCTGGCTGTAGAGAGTAATTGGCAAATGGGACCCAAGTGCACCCTAAAGTCTCAGCAAACCAGAAAGCAAATAAAAAGCACCTGCAAACAACTGATGTTGGCTGAGCTTGCTGGAAAGATGCATGAAATGTGCTTGACTGGCTGCTCCTGTGGCGTGGAGCTGCTGAGTGGTGGTTCCAGGTTCTCCAAAATGCCAAAAGAGAAGCTGGGAGCTGGCAGGGAAGGGGATGTGTGTTTGTGTTTGTGTTTGTGTGTGTGTGTGTGTTTGTGTGTGTGTGCAAAATGTGGCAAGAAGTTATCACCCACAAAAGCAATGGAGTGGGAAATCTGAATCTCCAACCCCAGGATGTGCAGCAGCCTCAACGCCCTGAAAAAACAACAGTGTCAAAATACACTGCATGTCAAAATAAGGCCAAAACCACAGTTTTACAAACCTCTTGACATGAAAACTCTAAAAATACGTGGGACTAAGAGAGACACCTGATAAGCAGCTGGGCATAAAGGCAGCTGCAAACTACCCAGAGAAAAAGGAGGTGCTGAGGCTGCCTGGGAGATTGGTGGAAGATCTGCCACCATCAGATTCTTGTTCTGCTGTGGAAACAGCTGAAGTTGTTACCAGGAACAGTTTGCAAAGGCTCAAACAAAGCCGCTGACAGAAATAACTCGAACACAGTGAGGAAAAAATTGCTTGAGAGTTCTTTTGGGAAGGATTAGGTTTTAAATAATTGCCATTTATAAGTTAATTTCACATCCTTTTGGAGTTTGGCCTACTAGGATTTGAAGGCTTGACTGAAGCTGGCAGACAGGGTGGGCACTGATTCCAGAGTTTGACTGCCAAGAAAAAGGAAAATATTAAGAGTAAAAATTGGCAATTCTGAAAAAAAAAAAAAAAAGAAGGCCAGAGAAATACAGGGAAATGAGATTTAGTTTAGGAAAATTATTGTTCTCTGAGCCATGGACTGATTTTATGGCTGGTTTATTAGTCACAGTTTTACATGAGCCTGGCCTTTGTAATCAATGTCTGCAAAGAAACTGGTGGAGAACACAGCTCCCAGTGCTTTAATAATTTGTAAATCCACAATTTCGTTATTTTTAATCATGAGTGGTTTTTTTCATTTAAATTCGTATCAAAGTCTATTAAAAGCAGTGGGGAGACTCCTCTCAGCTTTAGCAACTTTGAATCAAGCCCTGTAAAAATAGATGCTACGTGTCTCAAGGCTTCTGCTGCAGCCTCGCAAAAGGAGTCCAAGCAGCCAAGTAAAACTCTTGTGTTTCTGACCCCCATCTCCTTAGGGCTGTGGGCTGCCAGGGCCTGTGGGACTCTTCTCTGTCCTTTTGCCCAATGCTGGGCTATTCCTGAGGGATCTGGGCTTGCTCCTGGCATTCCCTCTGTGTTTCCAGCACAGTGTGGGATAATCTCTGCAGGAAAAGGGGCCCAGAGCTAACACCCAGCTCTCAGGTAAGCCCATTCCCCAAGAGACTGGAGATGCAGACAGATTGAAGAAGAAGTGATGGAAGCAGGTTGTTAGACAGCCTTGTGCATCTCAGTGAAGGACATGTTTTTCTTTCTGGAAGAGAGCCATGATGTAGAAATAGACTGAAAGCAGGAAAGAGGGCTGCAGTGGCTGAGGCTGTATATTTAAACCTCTTTGCTGTCTGACCATCTGGGCCTGCAGCTAAACTTACCTACAAATTATTTCCAATGTTTCTACATCTTGAGAGGTAAAAGGTGCACGTGGATACTGCATGCCAGGAAGGAAGGCAAAATAATTGTCCTGAGTCAGATTTCCCCTGTGTCAGACTCTTGTGTGGAGTTTTGGATGCCCAGCCTGTTCCATCAGCCTTCACCCACCCCTGCCTGGAACCCCAGGCTGGATGCTCTGTGTGCACAGAGCCCCTCACAGCCAACACAAAATCTGGATTTTCATTCCTTCTCTGTGCAACACAAGCCAGAACAACCACTGGCAATGCAAACGCACTCACATCTTTTTCTGCCTTTACATTTTTAACAATTTTTTTTTAAACCATAGCTAGAAGAAGACTCTTTCCATGATGAAAATTCTTGTGGATGATCCAGAAAGCCTCATTTCTCACTTAGCTCAGTCAAATTTTCTCAGTGATTCCTGCATGCCTGGATCCCAGGAGAAAGCCCCAAGCCCAGGTGAGGTCTGTCTGATCTCTACACATCAGGAAAGGTTTGGTGTGGGCTTCTGACACCTCACAGGGACCTCACATGAGGGGGACTGACAGATTCTGGGTGAGAAAAGTTGTGTTTTGCCACTTTTGCAACCATCTTGTGCAAAATGAGGCACCTGGATCTAGCCCTGGTTTGACAATTGCTGTGAAATGTTTCCAGAACAACCCCAAATTTTAAGTGCCTGACTCACTCCTCTGGGGACTGGCTTACCAATTCCTCCTCTGGAAGGCAAATGGATGAGGATTGCTGTAGCTCTTGCTGGTCAGAACTTGGATCTCCCCAGCTCTTGGGGGGTGCCCCAGCACCTACACTGGAGTATTGAGTGTTGGGCAAGTCTTGTCAGGCTCAGTGTAAATTAATGTCTCATCCTCTGCCTGTGCTTCTCCTCCTCTTAAGGTAATTTTTCCATTTGAATGGTTTTGTGCAAATGGTTCCTCCATTTTAGAGAGAATAATGTGAAAATATCTGCTGAACAATCCCATCCCAGAGCTGGAGTTTTTTCCTCACCTTAAAGCAAAGTCCTGTATTAGTCTCTGATTACTGTCCATTGACTTGGGAAAGACTAGAAGCAATTATATTTGGGGATTAGAGAAATTAAGTCTCAAGAGACATGGAACCTTTCAGCTTTTTAATGCTTTTGATTGTGTCTTTCTGTTCTTTGTGCCACCAAAGTAATAAAATTAAAATATTTTATAAAAGTGAGCTGTGATTGGTGATGGAACAGAACTGACCTGATTGTTCCATTTACCTATGGTTCTTAACCACAGGGAAAGTCTTAAATGAATGCATGCATGCATCCATCCACCAATCCATCCATCATCCATCCATCCATCATCCATCCATCCATCCATCATCCATCCATCCATCCATACATCCACCATCCATCTATCCATCCATCCATCTATCCATCCATCCATCCATCCATCCATCCATCCATCCATCCATCCACCATCCATCCATCCATCCATCCATCCATCCATCCATCCATCCACCATCCATCCATCATCCATCCATCCACCATCCATCCACCATCCATCCATCATCCATTCATCCATCCACCATCCATCTATCCATCCATCCATCCATCATCCATCCATACATCCACCATCCATCCATCCATCCATCCATCCATCCATCCATCTATCCATCCATCCATCATCCATCCATCTATCCATCCATCCATCTACCATCCATCCACCATCCATCCATCCATCCATCCATCCATCCATCCACCATCCATCTATCCATCCATCCATCCATCCATCCATCCATCCATCCATCCATCCATCCATCCATCTACCATCCATTAATCCACCATCCATCCATCCATCCATCCATCCATCCATCCATCCATCCATCCATCCCTCCCATATTTTTATATATCATCTCCATCAGAAAGAGTTTCATGGCAATAAAGATCCTCTGTCTAGCTGCTTGTGTGCATCCTGCCTTGCTTTTCAACAAATGGCATGGGAAACTCTTGCAAGGCCAAAACACGTGAATGAGATTTATTAATCCTATGGCTCCTTGTCAGTCACGACAACGTTAATAATCCATAAACCATGTCTAAATCATACACCACATCTATATCCCATGTAACAAATGCATCTCTGGCAGATGAATAACAAATCCCATGTGCACTCTGCTCCCTCTAACACCGAGAACACCCTGGATTTGGGGCAGCTCTTTCCAGCCGCCCTGGTTCCTTCTCTCTTCCTGCTCTGGGAGGAGGCTGACACTGCCCCAGTCCCTGCCAGGCCCAGCCCCAGTGTCAATATTTGTCACTGTATCTGCAGTCGGGGTAGCGGTAGGCGAAGCGGGAGTCGCAGGAGCGCAGAGGTTTCAGGATCCCTGCCAGCTCCGCCATGGCCTCGCTGGCACCGCCGCCGTCGCCGAGGCCGCGGGCGCAGCGCCGCAGGAAGGCGTCGATGCTCTCCTGCACGGGGGGCAGGAACTTCCCCGACAGCAGCTTGGGAAGAAGGTCCTGGCACACCATGACGAGGCTGTGCTGGTCCCTGATGGAGTCACAGGACACAAACGCAGACTGGCAGTCCACGGTCAGGCAGCTGAAGATGTCTTTGTACTCCTGTTGGCCATCGATCAGCTGGCTCCCTGTTGGGGACAATTAAACCGCTTGTTAGAAGCATAACAGTGAGCTGCTGGGCAGTCAGAGATAGCTGTGCCTCTGTGTTAACATGGGGTTTGTTACTGTCTAAAGGATGTGGCCACCTTTCACTGCAAATTACTCGGTGCTGAAGCTGTGTGTGTGCCAATTTTCTTGCTTTTGAAATATGTATATTTTTCTGAATGACAGACCTGTTCAGAACTGCCTGTCAGAGGAACTGGAGATGAGTCTGTCGAGTCAAGCTGATGCAGAAAAAAATGAGAATTGGAGTACAAATCTAAAATGTGGAGCTCCTACAAAAAACTACCACAAATAGCCAGACCTGTAATTTTTTCCATGTTAACCAAAATCATTACATTGAAACAACAGCTCATCTAGCTGAAGTCAAGTTAACAGTCTGCTGGGATAAGAAAAGGAAATCCAGTGGAAAATTTTCTAACAGCTGCTTCTGAATATTCTGAATACTCAGCTGAATGTGTGAGCTGAGGAAAAAGCTTTTGAAAATCTGAATATTCAAAATGAAACTGTTAAATTATTGGATGAATAGTCTTTGACTAGCTCTACTTGCAGGAGTAGACCAATGTAACCTGTGAAAACTGAATACTAACCCTTGATTTTATGTAAAAGTGACAAAAAGGGAGATTCTGTTATTATTGTTATAAATAATAATAACCATTACTAGTCAATTTGATAAATGCATGTAAAAAGAGTCTAATTTGACCCAGTACTTGGAACAAAGGAAATTACAAAATTTCTGCTGGCAAATATTGACATTTGCGTGGCAAAAGTTTGAAAAGGAAGGCTTCAAATGGGAGCATTGGGCACACCATGCACACTGAAAGCTGCTGCCAGCTACAGAGTGGCCACCAAATCACCGACTGCACAAACACAACACCCGTCGCCTTCCCGACTCAGAGCCAGGATGGCAGGAGCTGCTGATGGTGAGCGTCTCCGCGAACTTCTCATAATTTAATTTAGCAAGGGGTGTTTGGTTAATTAAATAAAAACCAAACAAAACCAACCCAAAATAAATCAAAAAGGCAGCAGTAGAGCCAAGGGCAGAAGGGGAAAGATTTGTCTGCCCTGCCTCCCGAGCCCTCCCGTGACAGATGCGTGGCTCTGGACCCCGCTGAGTACCTTCCTCCTTGTCGATGACGCCCAGCGTGCTGGCATCGCGGATGAACAGATGCCCGTTGCTGAACACGCCGAAGGTGCCAGCGTCCACGTGGGTGAAGTAGAAGAAGTAGTTGAGGTCGTTGGTGGCCATGGAGCGCAGCACGGCCAGGAGCTGCAGCGCCAGGTCCGCGGCCACCTCGGGCGCCGCGCCGAAGAAGTCGCGCAGGGGCCGGGTGCTGGCGCTGACCAGCAGGCGCCCGCAGGAGCCCAGGTACCGCGGGAAGGGCCAGCCCTCCACGTCAGGGAAGATCTGTGGGAAGAACAGCAATGGGGGCATCACCCCTGCCCTCTGTTCATGGAGCCACCGCCCTCTCAGAGTGCCCCTTTCTGGCTCCAAGCAGCGGGGTTGCTGTCGGAACCCAAGAAATTCCTCTGGCTGCCCTGGAGGGCTCGTGCCCCAGGACCCCTGTGCCTTTGATTGAGCCCTTGGAAAAAACAATTACCAACCTTTATATGAAGAATTACAAGTCAAGAAAGTTTAAGTAGAATGGTAGTGAATTTATCACAGGGTGAATAATAGATTTTTGACATTTTTAGAATGGGGGCTCGGGGTCCCAAGATGGAGGAATTTGGGCATGCCTTGTCCTTTTTCCTTCTTCTTCCTGGCCTCCATCTTCTGGGTGATGTTGGCACTTTCAGATTGGTTTAGAGTAGAAGGTCACTGTCTAACATAGATGATAGGTATTGGGAAGTTATGGTAAATAATGTACACGTATTTTTCAGTATAAAAAAATAACTGAGGCAGCCAGTGTGCCTCAACCCGACCTGCCAGACAGACCTCAGCAGGTTGGAGAAAGAATGTTATAGATAAAAAATAATAAACAACCTCGAGAATGAGAACAGAAAAGTCCTGACTCCTTCTTCAACTGCTGGGCTGGGAAAAAGAAGCTTGTATGTATCTCAGAGTCACTCTGACAAGAGATTCTGAGAGGTTGTGGTTTGGTTCTTAAATCACCCTGCAATCCTTCCTTGCCCATCCAGCTGGGAAAGGTACTTACTACCCCATCCTGGAGGAGTTAGGATGCTTTTTTCTTTTTCTTATGGTTCTTTTTTGTAACGGAGGAAGAATCTGGTATTTCGAGACTTATTCTGTAAGAGAGACTAAGTGGAAAGTCCAAGATAATAATAGTTTTCAGATTCATGAAAATTTTAGCCACAGAACAGCTAAATTTAGGTGTCTTTGATAGGTCCCTCATGAGCACTGAACAGATGAAGTCACAGCTTGGAGTTGAGGTAAGGCTAAAGCAGTTTCTGCTAATTGGTGAGAACTGCCAGGCTCATTTGTAAGAGACTTTGCAGTCTCAGGGGCAGAAGTGGTGGGTGTTTGCTCCAGTGGAGACACCTGGGCTGGGCTCCCTGCATCCCTGCAGCTCGTGCCAAACTGTGTGACTGCTGAGCTATGCCAGCACAAAGCTTTCTGTCATTTGCATTAAAGCTCATCTGTGTCCCCAGCACCTCAGACCCCAGCACCTCAGACCCTGCCAAGCCATTATGAACTCATCCAGTTTCATGTTAAAGGTTACTTCTCCCTTCTGCTGTGAAGACACTCTGGGCAGCTGTATAAAAATCTAGCTTTTTCTCTTTGGCATATTTTTCTCATCTCTTCAAGTTGTGTTCCTGTGTCTTCAGGCTGCTAAGGGCCACAGCTTCATGTCCCAGGGACCCATAACTGGGGTGGCTGAGTGACCCCAGGAGCCTCCCAGCACCATTTCCCCTCCCTGGGACCACACAGAGCCCTGCGAGCTGCTGAGTGCAGAACGGCCTTGGGCCAGAGATGGATGATGCTGCCACTGCCATCTTCATGGAATCACGAAGGGTTGCAAGAACCAGCAGTGAGGCCTAAAGGTGGGATGGGGAAAGGTGAGGATTCTCCCTTGGACACATAAGGAAAGAGAGGAGCTGCATGCCAGGCAGGTCAGAAGGGGTCCAGGGGAAGAGTGTGTGGAAAACACAGCACTGGCACGTGGAGCATGGGGAATCATGCTCTTTCTCTTCCTGAAACAGGCTGTGATTTTATGTAATGCATTAGCAATGCAAACCTAACACTTTGAAGTGTTGGGGATGTGTAAAACCCTGGATTTCACAGCGCTCCAGTGCAATAACACCTGGGGTTCCCTCTCTCCAGCCTCACAGAATGATACAGGGAGCACCTTGTGAGCCTGCCTGGCTTCAGCCCCCCAACCTCATGAAAGAAAAACACTTTTTGAAGGCCAGGGAGCTGACAAGAGCCAGGGCTGGGACTCCTCTGCCGCTGGGCCTGGCACACATCTCACGCAAGGGCTTGCTTGTGAGGGGCTGTGGGGTGGTGTTTCAGGCTGGGGCAGGCTGGCACATACCTGTAAGAGGATGGGGTGTGAGTTCACTGCCAGGGTGTAGAGCAGGCGCAGCTTGTCCCTGTCTGTGAGGTGATCCATGTAGATGCTGCCGGCGTCCGGCACCTCGGCGTAGCGCCGCACGATCCTGTCCAGGAGCCGCTGGGATGGGCAGCGCAGCAAGGGGCTGGGCAGGCCCTGGGAGAGGGGAAAACACAGCAGGGATGTCTGATTCCAGCCCGAGACATTGCCCTGGGAGAGGGGAAAACCCAGCAGGGATGTCTGATTCCAGCCCGAGACATTGCCATGTGTCAGAGCCCAGGAAATTCCTCTGACTGCCCTGGAGGGCTTGAGACACTGACAGGGGGCTCAGAGACCTTGGCACGGAGTCAAAAACAGCTGTGCCTTTGATTTTAACCAATGGAAAAAACCAATTACCTTTGTGTAAAAAACAAAATTTTGTGTGAGGAGTTACAAGCCAATGTTAGTGAATTTGTCACAGGGTGAAAATGTAGAATTTTGGCGGTTTTAGAATGGGGGTTCAGAGGCCAAGATGGAGGAATTTGGGCATGCCTTGTCCTTCTTTCTCCTTCTTCCTAGCCTCCATCTTCTGGGTGATGGTGGCAATTTTGGATTGGTTTAGAGTAGAGACAGACTGTCTAACATAGGTGATAGGTATTGGGAAGTTATTGTAAATAAAGTACACGTAGATTTTAGTATAAAAAGACAACACCACCCTGAAGGTGGGCAGTGTGCCACAGACTGACCTGCTGAACAGACCTCAGCAGGTCAGGAAAAGAATGTTATAAATAACAGAACATAAACAACCTTGAAAACCAGAACAGAAGAATCCTGACCCCTTCTTCCATTGCCAGGCTGGCAAAAGAGACTCTCTAACAGACCTTGGGGCATCCTGACCACAGAGACCCCCGAGAGCAATTGTGCTTGGGTCATGCTGGGGTGTACACACACCTCTGTGCTCTGCCCACTGTGCCCCTGCTTGCTTTGGCACAGTTCCAAAGGATGTGGGCACACAGGGCATCTCACCCTTCCTAGGAGAGGACCTTTGCCATCCAAAAATGCCATTTGCCAACTCAGGTTTCAAGAATGGTCCCCATTCCTGGGCGCTGTAACCTCATATTCCTCCAGCTGCACAGCACCACATCACTCCACACCATGGGACTCTTCCCTCTGCCTGGGTTTCCAGCCCTGGCATTCCTGGTGGAGGCCCTCCAGTTGTTACAACAGTGAGTCACTTCCCTTGTTAAATAATCTTCAGATCACTTTGTTATTTGCTTAACCTGAGAGCAGCTTTCTTGGAAATACTATTTGCTAAGGTCAGTAAACATGCTTTAAAAATGTAAATAAACATTATGTGTGAGTATAAGCACAGGATATGTTCTCTCTCTGATAAACTCATGCATTAACTATCAAAACCAAATAGCCTGTGTTTATTTTTTGTAAATACCAGCAACAAATAGAGACCCGTTGGGCTAATGGAATCAATTAGCACTGTATTTCACCCTTCAGATTTGGAGGTTTGGCTTGTAAAATTGCATGAGCAATCTATGGCTGGGATAAACAGCATAGAAAATTATACCTTCATCGTCAAAAATGGCCTTTTTTTATTTTTCAGTTAGTCTTCCTTAATAGCCAAGGAGAGTTTATACATGGAGGGTTGCCCACAATGGCACAGAAGCACTGCCCTGACATGCCTCTGCTGGGGAAGGGAATCAGGTGTTTTAAGCCTCTTTATTAAAAATGATCCCAGTAGCCAAATTTGCTCTTTTGAGTTTTGTTTATAATCTGATGGCTGGGAGATGTGCTTCAGAGGACAGGGAGGTGTAGCTCAGGCTTCTCCCTGCCATCCTCCATGCTGGCAGCAAAGATGTGACGCAGCATCTCCCCAGCTCACGTGGCAGCCCTGGGGTAGGTCCTTCCCAGCCCCTCCTGTGCGAGCTGTTCGTTTGGCACAAAACCCTGAACCACCCAGCCGGGACAAAGAAATAAAGGAACATGGGAAGGATGAGCAGGACACTTTCCCAGCTGGAGGAGGAAAAGGGAGAATTAGATGTCCCATGTCTCTTCCTCTGCATCCCTGTTGGCCTCGGTGAGATTCCAGCCACTCCTTCCTTGGCCATCAGTTGCATAAACAAGTCCAAAATGCCAATAGCTGGTCAAAACCACCTGAGAAACTCAACCACAGCTGAAGCATTGTTTCATGAAAACCAAAAAACCTTTCTTCCCAAAAAGAAAAAAACATTTGCCAAAAATAATCCTACTCAGTTCCTGTTGCAAGTCTTCATACACTTCTCTGGTGTAGCTTTATGAGGAAAATTTTTTCTCAATTAATTGTGTAAAACCATAGAAGAGGTGCAGGGGGAGGGATGGGTATGGATTTCTGTCCTGCAGCACTTGCAGGAACACTGTGGCTGACTCTGTCACTTTCCCTTTGGAGGAGATGTGATAAAAAATGAGCAGAACAGAGACATGTAAAGTAAGAGATAAATGGTGGGGAAAGTCTCTTGCAGCTCCGTGTGTATGCAAATATTTGCAGCCGAAGTTAGAAAGCCTTGCTGCTTCCAGGAGTCTGCAATGCAAAAGCTGAGGCCCTGAAGAGAACACAGTGGGAACATAAATCACAGCAGCAGAGAAGGCATGGATGGTGTAATTAGGGTTTTTCTGAGGTCAGAGCTCATCCTCTTAACATGAATGTGGGCACGTGCTGCCTGTGGGGCTCATGGTTTCCTGAGGAACTGTTCCAGGCACATCCAGGGAGGAGTGGAAGCAGAGGAGCAGGGCTGGGTGATGACACCTTCCTGCAGTTTAATGAAGCTCTGACCCACAAAAACTGGGCTATGAGGCCTTTTGGTTTCAGCAGAGACAGTCAACAGCATAAAGCTCAGCACCTGCTTGATTGTTTCAGTGGAGAGGGGTCCCCCCTTCCTGCAGGCTGATGGAAACATCTCTACAGCAGAGAAGGAGCTGGAGTTGTAAAACTGTCAGACAAAACTGTCAACAGAAGAAAAATGTGAGGAACACACACTTGAAACACTGGAGATACAGATTTATCTGAGAATATCTTAAGTCCTTTGCAGTGACTTATCACCCCAGAGAATAAGACCTGACAGACAGCCCGATGTATTGTTTGTGATTGATGTGGAAAGCTTCTTATTTACTTTGATTAAGTACCCACATTTCTGTATGTGATAGTGAGTAGCTCCTGCAAAGCCTAGCTCCACTCAGCTGTGAGTTCTTAAACACTATTACACAGTACAGGATGCATTTTAAACTCCATGAGTTTATGCATATGTAGCACAGACACGCCCAGAATTCACTTGAATGTAAAGACAACTTGAGGAAGATTTCTTGCTCTGTTTTCTTTTCAGACAGCCCAAGGAGGGATGGCCCAGACCAGAATCACAGCTGTCTCCTGCCCATGAGCCACTACCTAGGTCCAGCTTCACCAAACTACCAGGTTTAGGATGGGTTCCAGGAGGAAACACTTGGATGTAGGTGTCAAAGCACCTACAGCTCCTGGCGATGTGAATCCAAGGGTTTCTTAAACTCCCAAAAGAAAGAAGGTAGGAATGCCCTGAGAAACTCATCCCCACTGCCAGCAGGTTTATGGAAGTCCCTGATGATGAGGTACTGGGTCAAAGAGGGGGCAGGTCTAGGAGGTGGCTCTGGGAGCCCCAGAGTGCCCATCCTTCCCTAGAATGGGCAACTGGACATGTGAGTGAGCTGCTGCCCCCGTGCAGCAAGAAGAGGCGTGGACTGGACTCATAACCAGGGTGCTGGTGCACCTGCTGTGGGCAGGAGGAGGTGCTGGTCAGCAGCTGCTGGTCAATAGTTGCTGGTCAATAGCTGTTAGTCAGTAGTTTTTGGTCAGCAGTTTTTGGTCAGTAGTTTTTGGTCAGCAGTTTTTGGTCAGTAGTTTTTAGTCAGCAGTTGTTGGTCAGCAGTTGTTGGTCAGTAGCTGTTGGTCAGCAGTTGTTGGTCAGTAGTTGTTGGTCAGTAGTTGTTGGTCAGTAGTTGCTGGTCAGTAGTTTTTGGTCAGTAGTTGTTGGTCAGTAGTTGTTGGTCAGCAGTTGCTGGTCAGCAGTTGTTGGTCAGTAGTTGCTGGTCAGCAGTTGCTGGTCAGAAGTCTCAAGCAGTCCATCCTAGAGAATCCATCTGCAAATGCTGGATTTTCACCTTGGTACTGCTTTCCTCTACCTGCCTTCAGCATTTTCCAGGCTGTGCTTTGCAAGCAGGGCTGCAAATTTTCCCTGTGGGTGACCTGTGCTGAAACCAAACTGCTTTGTAGCCCCTCCAGCAGGAAAGCACCCAGAGTGTTTTGAGGTGACGAGCTCCTGGTGAAACCCCTGGTGTCTGGGGCTGCTGAGCAGGCTGAGCCCCAGCCAAATCCTGCTCATCTCTGAGGCAGCCTGGATTTTAGGACTGAAGACTTTGCTGCATCCAGTAAAGATTTTCCTTGTGGCTGGTGCAATAATCGCTGTGGCAGGCGGCTCAGCTGCTGGCTGGGTCAGGCAGGGCAGGCAGTGTAAAGTGGAAAAACATCACTTCATGGTCTGTCATTCTGATTCGAGCACGTTGTGGTTTGTCATGGTGCTCTGTCTATCAGACAGAATTACCTGGGCCCATGAGCTTCCCCCAGAGCTGCTGCACAGGATAAACTGCAGGGGAGGGAGAACAGGCACTGCTGTGTGACTGCAGCTCTGTGAAACAGGCTGGGCACCCTGTCAGGCCTTGGGAGAGCTGCTCTGTTAACCCCTCTGAAAAGAGGGAGAGTGGGAGAACAGAGCCAGAAGAGCAGTTCTTTAGGTAAGTATTTGCAGAGACATGGGAGCCCCAAAAACCCCTCTCCAGAGGCTCCTGCTGGGTTACCAACAACCTCCCTGGCCATCCCAGGGCATCCCCATCCCTGTGGGGCTGAGTGGGCTGGGGAGGTCAGACTGGAACCTGTGGTGCCCCACACAGCAGGGCTGGGATGGGGTCTCACACACAGACTCACACACCCAGTATGACTGAAATGTTGTTGCCACTGGCTGATTTTTAATTAAGATCAGTGTGAGACCAGAAGCCATTTTGCAGAGCACATGCCTGATCTTAAAAAGTGATTGCTGCAGAAATTTGGTGATGAGGAAGTCCCAGGGTCTCTGGATCACTATGTTTCTCTTTGTATTCAAATCTATATGCTGTTAGAAGGGATTTAAAGTCCAATTTGTGTTCCTCTGATTGATTTACAGAACCAAAGGACTGTGAAAACACGACCAGAGCAATCCTGGGGCTGATGTGCAAAGGTCTGGGCCTCCCTGCAGCCTCCCATGCCCTTTCCAACTACAAAGCTGCAGGGGTTGATGAATGTCCCAGGGAGTTTGTCACTGGGCACGTCCCCCCAGGCTGGCCCTGAGCTCCCTGCAGAGGTGCCCTGGAGCTGGCATCAGCTCAGCTCCCCACTGCTGCTGAGAATTCCCCTGCACAGGGAAATTCCTGGGAGAAACTGGATAGGTGCAAGGGCAGGGTGCCCCAGCAGGGTCTCTGGTGGTGCTGTGTGTGCACATGTGCATCCATATTTGTGTGTGTGCCCCTGTGTGCAGCCCTGCCAGCTCAGCTGGCATTTCTGACTCTGGGAGGACAGGCTAGGCAGAACTGTACCACATGAAGAGCCTTTTAAGGAGAGGGATTTGGGCTCAGCTGATGATTTAGCTTTGCAGCAGGTCTGAGATACCACAGAGCCACATTTCTCCAGTTACTTTTTCACCCAGCTCAGCAAATTGAAGTTTTAAGCTCTCGATTCCTTCCCTTTCCCTCAGCACTGCTGGGGAGCGGGGGGACAGCACAGTTTGGCACAAACACCTGGGACACTCCAGCGAGGCTGGAGGACCTGGCAGCCCAAGCTGCCCTCCTGCAGCCCCTGCAGTGCTGCCTGGGGCAACAGGGGTGGCCAGCAGGTGCCTGGACTGCCTGCCAGCCTGAGGAGGTGTCCCTGCCCACAAGCTCAGGTGAGGGATGCTCTGAGTGGAGGTGATACCCATCCCCTCTCTCTAGTGCCTCTCCCGAGGTTACTGAGCAAAATACAGTGTAGCTTTGCTCCAAAAATCCTCTCCCTGTCAAGCATGGAGGGTACTGACTTTAGGGTGACCTGCTGAGCTGGACTGTCAGTGGTTTGGGTGAGTCCTTTTTGGGGCAGTCCAGGCATAACCCCAGTGCATCCTTCCCTCCCTCTCTCCTAAGGTGTGCTGCTCCACAGGGAAGAGGAGAAAGAGTTAGTTTAGTTCTTCCTTCCAGTGGAGGAAGAACTAAAGCAGCATAGCTTTAGCACTCACCAAAGCTGAGTGGATGCAGAAGCAGCTGCCTGTATACAAATATAAATGAAGTCAGTTTTTCACAGTCACTTCTCTCTTGGAATGGGAAGAAGTACTGGAATAATCCTTTGTCTCTCAGGGTCTTGCTCAGTGTATATCCAACCCCCACACTGGCCCCTGCCCTTTCCAGGGGTTGTTGTGTTGTTTTGCTGTTGTTTGGGTGGGGTGAGGGGGATGCCCTGTGCTGTAGCTGCCCATTTACCTGGTGGTGTGACTCACACTCACTGTGCTCCTGTCCTGGCTTCACCTGTGACACCCCAGGACTGTGGGAGAAAGGGCAGTGTGCTTCCTTGTGCCTGAGGTCATTTGCTATGGATGGCAGGAGGAGGAGTAATCGAGGCTTTGGCTCTGACTGCCCATGCCCCTCGTCCTGCCAGCCACAAGCAAGAGAGACCCACACTGGCTTGGCCCCTGGCCCAAAGCAAAATCGCTTTCAAGGCACTGGCTGCCCTTGTGGGTACAATTTTATGATGAAAAAAACCCCAAAACCCCACAATGCTGAGACATGATGGAAAACTAGAGAAAAAAAAAAGGCAGCAATCTCCTCATGGGAGCTGTTACCACATTTGTGTGCACAGCCTGCTGTTACCCCCGTGCCTGAAGCCACCTGGTGTTGGGAAGGATGAAAGTTTGACAAGAAAGTCTCACAGATATGTGTGCTTGGCAGAAAGATTTTTGAATGTAGAATCTGAAGAAGAATAGAAATGGAAGAAGGTTTTGATATAGAGGAAAAGAATTGCTGGGCCAGTCTGTCTGGATAACCAAGGAGGCAAAGGGTGTGTTAGTTAGAAGGGGTTTTATGGCTTAGAACAAAGGATAAACCCACCCCAAACAAGAAGATGTTTTTACCAAGCAGAAAGACAGCACAGGCAAACAAGTCAGCCAATGTTGCAAGTAGAAAAAACGACTTAGAATTTTCCACTGCAAGAAAACTGAAAAACAACTTCTAGCTTAAACTGCAATGTACTGACTTTTAGTGACTGGAGAACAGTAACATGACTATGGTAATTACAGTAGTCATGACAGGCTATAGATAAAAGTTCAGGTATAGATTGGTTGTACTGCATGAAGATGCTCAGCAAAGAACAGTCTATAATGCATTGGAACCTAAACCAAAGGGTCTCCAGGCCTGCCTGCAGCTGGAGCTGACAGCTGTGGGCACAGGCTCTGTCACCCACCACCCTGGGCTGCTGCAACCTCTTGGATGGAATAAACTGCATTTTGGAGAGTGCCTGGAGTCCTGCATCCCTCATTTCAGCTCTTACAACCTGGTAAGAGCCAAAGCTGTGGCTTTGCACAGGACTTCAGCTTCAACCTGCACAAGGAGCCAGGAGCTGGTGCTGGGGCCAGGCCCATCCCAGCCCTGTACAGGCTGTGCCACAGCATTATCTATGGCTGGCAGGGCTTGGCCTTCAACTGTGGCGCTCTTCCTTCCCTCAAGGCACCATTTTGCCTCTCCCCTTTGTCACATGGACTTGGCTGGGGACACACAAGGCTGCCCCATTGCCACTGACCGGGCTGAGCACCCACCACCACCCAATCTCACCCTCCAACCAGGGAGCTACAACCACATCCCACAAGACCCTAAACCCCACAGGATCTGCACTCCCTGTGCCTCCCCAGCTGTGATGGGGCACCAGAACCCTCAAGCAGACCTGCACCAGGTCGGGCGTGAGGCGCTTGGCCCGCAGCCACTTCTGGAAGCGCTGTGTGTGGCGCAGGGCACGCTCCAGGCTGCAGCTCCTGGTCCTGAGCAGGGAGGTGCAGATGTGCTTCATTTTGCCTCTCCCCTTTGTCACGTGGACTTGGCTGGGGGCACACAAGGCTGCCCCATTGCCACCGACCAGGCTGAGCGCCCACCACCACCCAATCTCACCCTCCAACCAGGGAGTTACAACCACATCCCCACAAGACCATTTTCACACTCCTAAACCCCACGGGACCTGCTCTCCCTGTGCTCCCCCAGCTGTGTTGGGGCACCAGAACCCCCAGACAGACCTGCACCAGGTCGGGCGTGAGGCGCTTGGCCCGCAGCCACTTCTGGAAGCGCTGTGTGCGGCGCAGGGCGCGCTCCAGGCTGCAGCTCCTGGTCCTGAGCAGGGAGGTGCAGATGCGCTTGTCCGCCCGGTCGTGCTGGTACTTGGAGGTCAGGCGGGTGATGTCCACCAGCCGCCAGCTCTTGGCATCGTCCGTGTAGTTGCCCGAGTAGCTGAGCAGGGAGCTGGGGGGCAGCTTTAAATGAGAAGAAAGCCAGGTGTCAAACCTGCCAAACCAAAGGGAGAGCCCCACGGAGAGCGGGTTAAAAACCGCACGGACACAGCGCCCGCCCCGCTGAGCTGCTCCTCCAGGCCGGCCCCTGGGGATTCCTGCCGTGCCTGGCAAAGGCTGAGTCACCCCAACTGGGTGGCCCCAGGGGGAGCAGGTTGAAACCATCAGCTAAGGAAATGTGCTTTGGTAAAAAAGTCCTTCTTTGCTTCCCACTAGTACCATCCCTTGTCAGGAATGCTGCCATGGAGTGAAGGGTAAAACATCTAAATGGGATCTTTTGGGTAGAGGGTGGGAGGAGAGGGAGAGGGCTGCAGGGTTTTGGTTCATGAAGAATTTCTGGTGTTTTTAAATTTTCCTATTTCTAGAGGAAGGATCCCAAAACAGGACTACTTGACACTTTAAAGGTCTGTCCTGATATTAAAACCTAACAACAAATGTACTTGGGAATATCAAAATGACCTCTTGTTTTGAGGTGGTGGCTTTTGTCAGTGCAGGGGTCTACCTGTCTCCCCTAACATCCCTGACTGTATTTTCTCCCCCAACATCCCTGACTATTTTTCAGCCAGGATGAGTGACCTCCTTGATATCAGCAGAGTTTGGGGTGTGATGGGGATACAGGGTGTGATGGGGGGACAGGGCGTGCGTGTCCTGGGTGTGCAGCACCTCTGTAGCCATGGAGATCTTGCACTAATTTGCTCCCCCTCCACAGGCACAGGAGGGGAGCATATGGGCTGGGTAATTGGGTAATTTTTTTTTGTTTCAGCAGCCCCCTCAGCCCTGCCCACACGCGCGTCACACATGCCGGAGCCGAGGAGCGCGGTGCCTGCTCTGGGAGGGTGTCTGTAACCTGCTCTTGGAAAATGGCCCAACTCTGACCTTTGGTTTGGCCAGCATCCTGCCCTTGCTGCTTCTGAACCCTCCTGCCCTGAGCTCCTTGTCCAAGTGCGTAGGAAAGCACGTCCTAATTTAATCTCACCCTAAGTTAAAGCCAGTAGCTCAGAAGTGAAACAGGAGAGGCAAGAGGTTCCCTGCAGGATTAGCCTAGCTGGAGTTTCAGACAGCTTACAAGACATGAACAAATCTGAAAGCTGAAGCTGGTCGCTCCTTTCAAGTTCCATTTGGGAAATTGGCACAGAGGATTAATTTTCTATGATTTCAGGCAAATAACTGACTCAGTGACATGAGCCACCATCTGCAATCAGAACTGATCAGATGATCCCTCCTGAAGGCAGCACCCCACTCCCTTTCCCCACCACAGACCCTGTGCAGCTGAGCTCTGGGGCAGGCACAGGTGCCCAGGATGGGTGAAACCCTGGTGCTTCCCCTGCTTTGGCTTTCAACTCCTGCCATGTGCCTCCTTCCAAAAATTTGCCGTGGAGGATGACTAGAAGTGGGGGAACCTTGTGTGAACAGCTTGGCAGATTCCTGCATTTCAGTTTTTGGGCATTTTGCCTGATATGAAACTAAAGATTCCCTACAATTAGAGCACCTGACATGATAATAAACACTTAGTTTGGGTTTGGGGTTTCTTTTTGGTGGGTTTGTTAGTGTTTTGGTTAGGTTTTTTGGTTTTGGTCTAGGATTTTGAGCTAGGATTAAAGAAAAGAGAATAATTGCTGTGCCTCACTGTGATTGTTGTGCATCAGGACCCCTCCCAGTGCCTAATCTGCAAAGTGGGCACAGTGTGCCAGGCACGTACTGGGAAGAGATGGCTCTGGGCTGGCTTTTTCTTTCTTTCTTTCTTTCTTTCTTTCTTTCTTTCTTTCTTTCTTTCTTTCTTTCTTTCTTTCTTTCTTTCTTTCTTTCTTTCTTTCTTTCTTTCTTTCTTTCCTTTCTTTCCTTTCTTTCCTTTCTTTCTTTCTTTCTTTCTTTCTTTCTTTCTCAAATATGCCTTGTGACTTGACTCAAGCTTGTGTGTTCAGGGGAAATCATATCAGGCAGATAGCAGGAAAGTGCCACCTCCAGTGTGCAAGCAGCACATGGATGTGTGAAATCCAAGGCTGAGCATTAATTTGAGGGTGGATGGAGTGATTCCCTCTGCAGATCTCTGGGGAGAACCACCCTGGCCTGGGAACCCGCTATGGGCTGCAGCAAGTCTGTATTTGGCATCATTTCTGGGCAGCACAGCACTGGCCTGGCACATTTGCTGGATACTTTCAAGATTCATCATCAAGTTGTGCTGTAACCACTCCCTCTTGTACAGAGCTTTTTAGCTAAGGGCCAGCAAATCCTCTAAGACCTTCAGTAAAATCTATGCAAATAAGTGAGTCATAGATTACAGATTTTAGATGAACCCAGAACTAAATGCTGAAGACATCCAAACTAGTTTTCCTTTGTTTTTTTTCTGAATGAAATGAAGTATTTTGTTTCAGCCAAAATAATTTTGCTTGCATTTGGAATTTCTGATTTTATTTTAAAAAGAAGTAAGCTAAGCCTTAAAACAAAAACAACAAAAAAAAAAGAAGTAACCTATAAACCCCCTTCTAATTGAAGCATTTCAGCTTCTTCAGTCTTCTTTCCCATTATTCTTGGACAAAGCTCAGGACCAGCATTGGCACAAGTCTTTGAATAGTTTTGGTCGGCTCAGTTCTGCGGTATTTTGAAAATCTAATATTTTACAAAAACTTCCACTGCTCTCTGCTCTCAGTACAGTTGGTAGACAGGCTTGGTGTCCTCATTTACAGATGGATAAAGTTGGGCAAAGATAAGGGAAGTATAGAACATTAGAGCACGAGATGAGTCACCAGCCGTTCTGGGAACAAAACTCGCATCTTCTCACTGTGAACGCATGTCAGAGCTCCCAGAAATGATGGAGAATTAATGAAGCATGTTCCAATGTGAATTAGCACAGAGAAGCCCAAGCGCCATCCACCTTTGCGAACACGTGAAAAGGTACGAGGGTGGATCAAAGAGTCTAAGCACCACTGAAATTCCCCTAGTTTCAGCTCCCACTTGCAAAAAAATAATCCCAGTTTTTCAATAAATCAAGTGGGAGAAAAAGTTTTACCCATGCAAAAGAAAGCCTGAAGCTGAGTGAGTGCTCAGGAGAACATTTTTAAGCTCCCCTTCCCGAAGCACTCACAGCAGAACTTCACGTTATCACTTATGTGTGGGATGCCAGCTGCAGGCTGGTGGGAGAGAAAAAGAAGTGTCTGGCTTAGGGAGCCCCTCTGTGTCCCCTGAGGCAGAAGAATTGTGCTCCCACATGTTTGTGGCTCTGCACTCCTGGAGCCCAGTGGGAGCCTGTGCTCCCCGTTCCCGCTGTCCCCGGGAGGAAAGCCAGCACGGGGCCCTCCTGCCGTGGCTCACGTAGCCCCTCTCTGCCACAGCCCACTGTGCAGCTGGAACCCCACAGCCAGAGGCACTTCTGCTGTTTTTGGCAGGGCTGAGGGAACCTGCATGGCCCCAGCCTCCCCAGTGGCCAAGTGGGAGTAACCAAAAGGGAGCTGCTTTGTACCTGGCAGCAATTCCCTAAAACCCCTGCACAGGTGAGTGGGGATGCAGCAGGCTGGGGCAGGAGGCAGCTGTGATGCCATCCTGCTGCAGAGAATTAAAATGCAGAGCAGACCCTGCCCTGGATGCACCCCTGGCCCCTGCAGACCCACACCAGCCTGTCAGCCAGCTGAGCACGCTGGGCTGATTGTAAATCCACGCTGCATTTTGGGACAGGAATCCAGGCTGGGCTGGGAGAAACCCAGCACTCAGCCCTGTGCACCTCACTCACCGCTCACTCTGGCACTGTGGATGTGGAAAGCAAAAGGGCAAAGTGACAAGGACTGGGACCCCCAATGTGCAGCAGCAAGGAGTGCTCTGGCTCAGCAAAGCCACAAGCTGCCTTTTTCCAGCAGCAGTGCAAGGATGGATGTCTGGTATTACAAGTCCATCCCAGACAAACCATTATGGTTTTACTATGCTGCATTTTATAGGATAGTTTAAGATAAAAATGGTGATTTGTCTAATACTATACTACTTACATTATAGCATTAAAAATACAATTTTACTATAATAATTTCTTCTCCCCCAGGCTTTTATATCTATAAAAGAAAGTGCATATGGCTCTATAAATCATATCAGACCCAATAAACCCTTCCTCTGCCAAGCACTGCCTTTGACTTTTTCCTCAAATTCAAGTGGCAACATTTTCCCTGCTGTCATCAGATATGCTCTGCTTTTGAGCCTAAAAATGATTGGATTGGTCCAATGACCACTTGGACAGTGTGTGTCTCATCAACAGCGAGGCAGATGCAATATCTGCCTTCAAGTTCTCACACAAATCTCCCCAAAATGTACCAGTAATTTAGCTGTGTGCTATTTTCAAGCGTGTGGGTAACCTCATGTGCAGAAGTCCTCATGCCTCAGGCAGGTTTAGATCCCTTTTGATCTTAGTTAAAACGTGAAATTCTGCACATTCACGTTGTTGCACCTGGTACAGAATTATACAGCATGTTTGTATGTTTGTAGTTAACATACTCTGTTGGGAGCATACAAAGCTAAACCCCCTTTTGCCCTTTAGTCAGTTTGCTCATAATAAAATTCTTCCAGTAAATCTAAACGGGCTGATTTCTTCCTTCCCTCTTCCCTCCCCCCATCACTGCCTTGAGTTTTTTTCAGAGCCCCTCTCTAGACAGAAATTTGTGCCTTTTACTCCTGCTTTCAAGTTATAGTTTAGGGCTGAAGTCTGATCATGTTTGCATTGCTTTAAAAGAAAAGAGACAAAGCATGAGCTTACAGGCATTAATTAAACGCTAAGTGCTGAAATGGCAACTGGGTGCTAAGTTGCTCTTTGCATTGTTGCTCATGAAAATACTTGGAAATTCTAACAGGCAACTTTGAAATTACTATACAGAACGCTTTAAAAATTACTCTGCTGAGTTTCTGACCTTATCTCCTCTTTAAAGAACTTCTTGCATATGGATGTCCCAATGCAGGCGTTGCATTTATCAAGTCCCAGGAAAGTCCGGCCAAAACTGTAGCTGGGTTTGACGTGGGGCACAGACGGAGAAGCTGCTGCTGCTGCTGCTGCTGTGGAAGGGTTACAGCCCAGAGCCAAAACCAGGAGCAGCATCAATGGATCTGCAACTCTGGAGCAAAGGCAGCATATCCAGCGCCCCATCTACAGTAGTGGAGAGCTCTCTGCTTTTTGCAAGTTGTCCCTCTCTAGGATTTCAGTCTCTTTTTGGTGACTTCAGCCTGCAGTGGTGAGCCCCGAAACACAGCCAGACACTCTGGGTGCAGGAGACACTGCTGCAGCCCCCATCCTGCCAGCTGGTCACTGGCTCTATTGGCTTGAGGTTTGGGTGGGAAAGATATGCTGTAGGGTGGGGAGAAGGAAATACATGGAGGATGCAGATAACTTGGGTTGCCATGGTTGTCTTTCCTCTCCTTGTTGCAGCTGCTTTGGCCCCTGCTGACCCTCCCATCAGCAGACTTGGGAAACAACACCAAGGAGTGCTCATCTGCTCTTGGTGCAGACAAATGAAGGATATCCTGTCACTGGAGAAAAGGGCACATGTGGGACACTTAGTAAAAAAACTGGTTTGGGAGGAGTAGTAGCGTGGCAGAAATGCACATTTTACCAGAAGCCAGACCTTTGGTGTTGCTTTATTCCAGGAGATTTGTGGTGGTGCATGACATGACTTCTTGGATGCTTCCTTGGCCCTTCTCTTGAAAGGCTGTCAGGTGGAATCATCATTGTTCTGTTTCTTGAGAACAACATTGTTCAGCAGTGGTTGCTAAAAAAAAAGAAAGCAGGATAGCCTGCAGCTTTCCCAAAACTCCCAGCTGATAGAGCAGCCTGACCTCTACGCCCCTCTTGGAAAATGAGGTTTTCGGCAAGACACGTGTGCTTTGGAATGTCTTTTCTTGATGGCCCTGGCACTGGAAAGAAGCTAGAGAAGGGGATGGGGGCGAACTCAGGAGAATGTCAGAGGTTTCAAATAGACTTAGAGATTACTGTGATCACACCAAAAGGTGTTCTTGTTAGGACAAAGACTTGGAAGTTATGGAAACTGGTGGCTACCCATCCTGGCCTGGGTGCTGGGGACTATGCCAGGAGATCTGGCAGGATGCTCAGGGCCAGGGAAGCCCACCTTGAAGGAGCAAGTGGCACTCTGGCTGCAGGCAGCACATGTTGCTGTGGTGGCACTGGGCCTGGGTCCTCTCCATCCCCAGCTGTTGTGTTTTCAGTGACACAGGAGACTCTCCTGGGCCATATCTCACCATGGGAGCAGGGAGGAGCAGACTGGGGCTTTGGAGACTGCTCATCCCCCAGCTGGGCTACTCACACCGAGTGGCCAAGCCATTTCCCAGCACATTTTTAATGGAAGAAGAGGTGCACTGTAGCCATCCTTTATTATCTCCTCTGGCATTTAACCTGATGGTACTAAGGGATGTGAGAGCCACAAGGATGTGCCTTGGGCTCTGTGATTACCCCTCACTCTCTGAAGGGGCTGCTGGGTGATCCCAGCAGTGCAAGGCAGCTATTGAAAGCACAGAAACTCTTTAGTTGTGGCATTTGGGAGATCCAGGGTCTCTCCTTGGCTCCATGCCCTCATGGGGGGTTGCTTCACCTCCTGGTGCACAAAATAGAGATGGTGAGGTTTGGGGTTATTCTCAAGGGTACAGCACTGACAGAGGAGGATGAGGAGCCCTGCTGAGAAGAAAGGAGGATATCATGAACCCTGCAGAAGCTGCAAAGCCAGAGGGGCTGGGCAGTAGCAAGTGCACTCTGCACAACTCTGCATTGAGCCATCACTGCTTTTGGCCTAACACTCCAATGTAAAGCTCTTTGAAATGTGTTGGTGGAAAGAGACAGAAACAGAGCTAAACAAATATTAGCTGTGTCCCACTTCCAGAAGTTTATCCCTGGTCTTTTCTATTGCTGGTACATTGTTCCTCTCCCCTCTGCAGGAACCAGCCCTGCCCACAGTTTCCTGCCAGTAGCTCTGCAAATTTGGCCATGCCCACATTGCTCCCTGCCCAGCTCTTCCCTGGATGGTACCAAAATTACACACCAGCAATCTGTCTTTATCTTCATTATGTAATGCATAAACCACGTATCCTTCAGTTTCTTTACTAATTCAGTTGCCTTCCTTCTGTCTTCTACCCTCCTCTGTGATTTTAAGAGCAGGCACACCTAGGCTTCCATCTCCTGGTGCCCCAGCCTCTGCTGCCCCAGGGAAAGGGGAAGGCTTCAGCCTCTGGGGGTGGTAATTGAGCCTTTCTCAATGCAAACCCCAGGGTCTGGCACAAAACCCAGTGCATGAGCAGTGGGCTTTCTGTGCTATTAATGATGCCTCAGTGTCCTTGTTGTTCTTGCACTTTTATGTAGTTCAGGCACATGTAAAGCAATGTTTATGCCTCCCTAGGAACAGCATGTGTAAGTGTGCTTTTGTAAAGTGTATCACACCTGCATTACCTTGAACTGTTATAAAAGCAATTTTTATTTGAAGAATGGGAGCAGGTCCATCATGACCATCTCAAGCTTGCTGCTGGCATTTGCATTTACCCCCAGGATCTGAGCTCCCTCCTTCCCTCAAACATTTCTGCTCAGGCTGGGCAGTCCCTGAGCATAGATGATGTGTGTAGGAAACACTCATTCATGCTCACAGCACTGAAAAAACCAAAGCTTAAAAATGAATAGATGTATATCTGAACTAGCCAGAGAGGCAGGTGAGAAACCACAGCTGGGTGAGTGTTGTGAGAGGGGCTGCACTCCTGAAAGTGCCCTCTCTTTTACTGAGGTCATTCAGCAGGTAATGTCAAACCTGTATTTGCTTTCCTTTGTATTTGTTTTCCTTTCCCTCTGGTGACACAGTACAGAGCTGTTGTGGTCAGGTGGAGAGCAGCCAGGTCTGCAGGAGCCTTGTAGATCTTCTCCTTGTGCCAGGATGTGGGATTTTCAGGGCATGGATCACCATGGTGTATGCTGGAACCAAGGACTGGCCCTAACAACCCCATGGGACCTTCACAAAACTTGTGCAAGAGAGACTCCTATGCAACACCATTAACCATGTGAGAACATGGCCCTGACAGAAAAGCCTCGTTAGTGTTCTAAAATTTGTAATTTCTAACAATTTCTAAAAAGGATCAGTATGAATGTACTGCCCTATCGAGGTCAGAACAGTTGCAGAAAAGCTTTTGGAGTGGCTTCTACCAACAGAGGTAAGAGTTTTTTATCTAGCCTCTGATCCCTCCTTTCTCCACATGCCATGAGGGATGTGGGAACACACCTGGAAGTGCAGCCCCACTTCTGATCACAGCCATGTGGGCACTGGAGCTCCTGGGTCCCAAAAGCACCCAGTCCCTGCAGGTTTGGGTGGGTATGGCTGTGATCTCCAGCTGCCCATCGAGGTGGGAGAGGGCCTGCCCTCCCTTGCTGCTGGTTCTGGAGGAGATCAGGAGAACACAAGCTGATTCTTCCCAAGTATTCATGGGGTGAAATATACCTTAACCCACCTCCTGGTTTCCATCCAGTCCATTAATGCAATCCAGCTGTTCCTCACTGACTCTTTCCACCCCAGTCTATTGCCCACATTCCCTGGTCAATGCCAGCTGCCCCCAGGGGTGGGTTTCATGTCAGCAGAGCCTTGCAGCCTCCCTCTCCCCATCTCATGGGTGCACTGTTAATTCCAGTGGGACACTGGAAATGACTTTGCAGAGCAGGAGACCTTTTAAATTAGTTAAAATTAATTAAATAGTTTGGGATAATCACCAATAAGTCTTTCAAAACAAGAGGAGAAGAAGGTGCAGTGCTGCTGCTCCTCAGCTGACATTGCCACCAGGGTCTTTGCTGTTATTGACCTGCACCTGTCATGGGGATTTTGCTGCTTGGCCAACCTAAACCAGCAGATTTTGGGTGTCACATCATCTCATCTTCCTCTTCAGCCCAGGTTTTTTTTCAAAAGAGCCTGCTCAGCAAGGATGGATTGCTGCGTGGGTTGCAGGAGGGCTGCATCACACAGAAAGGAAACAACAGACAGGAAAAATCAAAGTTCTGCTGGAAGAGGAGAGGCTCCTGCTCTTCCTGAGGCCCTCAGTAATCCCTGCCTGGGTCATGCTGCCTGCAGGGCCTGGATAAGACCTTGGCTGTCACACAGAGCGGCTTTGCAGGACAGGGTGGAAAGCAGCTCAGAGGGGTGTGGTGCAACCATGATTATTATTAATAACATTTTTCAATAATCATAGCCAAGATAATCATTAAACTACTGCCAAATAATCAGTACAGACTGGGTATCAAACTGCTTATCACTTCAATCCCAGTTCAGGCTGGATGTGTGGATTAATAGCTAGAGCATCTTGACACATTTTCAATTCTTTCAAAACGAAAAATGTGATTCTGAGTGCTACAAAACTCCCAGCACTTGGGAGGATGCGATCACTTCCTTCTTCTCTGTTTTCCTCCCAATTGCATGATTATGAAAGAAACATCTGTTTTGAAGCGATCTGCAACAGAAAATTTTTGTTCCAGTTGGATTTTTAATGGACAGCTTCTGTTACAGAGTCTTGTTCTCCTCAACCCTGTTTCTTTCCCTTTTTCTTTTGCTGAAAGATGAAAGAGAAAGGAAGAGGAGGAGGAAAAACTCAAGCAAACAAATGCCACTGCCCAGACTACAAATACAGACTGAAAAAGGGGCCACTGAGGTGTGGATGGTGTGAAACTCCACAGCTGAGCTGGCAGAGAATGTTTGCACTTCAGTTCTCTTTGAGAACATTTGATGTTGTGTGTGTATATGGATTTTTCTACATTTTGAACGTATGAATGAATGTATTTTTCTACATTTTGAATGTATGAATTTTTCTACATTTTTCTACATTTCGAATACTAAAAGAGTGATACAAATTTTACCTTTTTTTTTATTTTCTCACCAGGGAATAATTCCTATTGTGTGATAATCTTGGATGCAATTAATCTGAAGCAACAATAATATATATATATATATATATATATATAAATTAATTATATTAAATAATACAATTAATTATATATTAATTAAATATATAATTATTTAATTATATATTAAATAATATATAATTTTTATATATACATTATATATATATATATATTATACCTGCAGTATTTTTGGATTCTCCTTCACTCAGTTCTTCTACTGCAGAAGGGGAAACCTGTTGTTCTTTGGGAAGTCTTTACATTCTGGTAGGCTGGAAGAAAAAGCCAGTGAGAAGAAAAGCCTCAGGCACTGCAGCACTCCAGCAGATAAGACCAGTTCTAGTTTGTGAGAGGCTGAA